ATAAATTTGCCTAAAATTTAATATTTTTTCAAATTTGTGAATATAATAAATTTTTATTGTTGGTTCTTCAAATGTAGAAGAAATACAAGTTCTGGTTGTTGAATCCAATAATAATGTAATTAGTCTGAAATAATTTTCAAAAAACAAAAATGATCACTTATCTAAATCTATTGATTTTTTATAATATTTTTTCAAATTTCTTTTAGTTGGAGGATAAAGACAAAAAGACGTAGCTAAATAAATTTTACGTGGTGTCTAAATGTTGGCTCAAAGGTCAATTTTATCTTGAGATTTTGAATGATATACAAAACAAAATAAATTTTAATATTTTGTATTGCTTAATATTATTTTATGCAGAAATTATTGTTGAAAATTATTGAAGAAATGAAGTTCCTACATCCCAAGATTTTTATTGAAGACCATGAAGATTAATGAAAAAATATTTTCTGGTTGGTTAGTATTTATAAAATTAAGTCTTTAGGAACATTATTGTAGGATAGAGAGTAAATTTATATTATAAGCAACAGAATCGTATTTGTATCATCTGTTCAAAAATTGTTTTGAAATGTTTTTGGAATAAATTTATTAAGAGAGATAGCCAAAATCTTTACTTCTTCACGTTTTTCCATCTTATAAATATCTTTGGAGTTAAATATTTTGGTAGCTATAAAAATTGAAAATTCTGCAAAAAAGTATTTTGCTGATCTAAAAAAACAGTTTCTATTTGAATACAGCTCCTGTTTCTGATTACAGCTGGTTGTTCTGATATAAATTTTACAGCTATCTGTTTCTGATATAAATGTTACACTGTTTTCTAAACTGAACCTTTCATCTTCAAACCTTGCATGTGTGAATATTAAATGTGGTTAAACAGCCCTTTTAATTGCAACCCATGCATTGCCTTGTTAGTTTAAAAACATCAGAAACTTTATTGCTCATTAAAGCAAAAATAATCTCAACATTAACTTCAAAAGAGAATATCATCTTTTCATATAAAAACCATTTCCTCTCTTAAAAAGAAGGGGTTTTGCAAAAGAGTATGAGTTCATTGTTCATAGTTTAAATCTCTCAAAGCTCTTTCTTCAATCCCCCTATTTCTTTTCGTCACTTTGCTTCAAGAAAAATTTTTAAGAGAAAAGAAAATTTATTAACAACATTTCTGAAGAAAACAGTTCTGATCTTAAATCTATTTTTAAATTCATTTCTGTTCGATTCCTTGCTTATATTTAAAAAACCATTTTTTTTCCCTTTTTCCTCTGTCTATATAGATTCTGTAATCTTTGTAGACAAGGCATCTTTATTGAAAAACTTTTGTGTAATAGCTTAGGTTGAAACACAGTTATGGTGTAAAGAGGTTATCAAGCGACCTTCTCCTTGTGTGAGATTCTAATGTCTTGGATTTTGAGGTTTCTGTTCTCTGCAAAAACAGAAGGGTAAGGGGTTGAGGTTAACTAGAACCTTTGGAAAATCTAGTGGGATAAAGGTTAGATCTAGGTGTTGATCTATTTCCTTGTATTGTTGGTTTGTCTCTTACTTACCCTTGAAAAGAGATAACATAGTGGAGGATCTCAAGATGCGTCTTGGGGAGTGGATCTAGGCGAGTTAGTGCGGAACCACTATAAATCTCTGTGTTTTTCTTCTTTTACTTTCTGAAGTTCTGCTTGATTATATTCTATTTACGCAACTATTAATCTGTTTAGAAATGCGATGTTGTTAATGAGTTTCTGATTTTAATCGTGAATAAGCTTTATCTATGTGGAACATTAGAACTCTGGATTTCTTTTATTTTCTGAAGTTCTGCTTGATTATATTCTGTTTACACAATTGTTAATTTTTTCAGAAATGCAAAGTGCTTAATGCGTTTTTGTTTCTAAACGTGAATAAGCTTTATCTCTGTGGAACATTAGAACTCTCAATTTTTGTATTGTAATTATACCAAGTTCTAATATGCCCTTCAACATTCAGTATAAATCACAATATAAGTGATACTCAGTTTTCTATTATTTGCTTAAGCTTTGTGAGCAGTTGTAAACACAATAACTGTTCTTCACAAGAGTCTTTCTAAACTTGCAATAAGCTTTGTTTGGTCTTGAATCTATTAATAATGTAATATTTGAATAATTTCAAAAAATAAAAATGATCCCTTATCTAAATCTATTAATTTATGATATTTTTCAAATTTCTTTGGTGGAGGATAGAGACAAAAGACGCAGATAAATAAATTGACGTGTGTCTAAATAAATAAAAGAAGTATTTATTCAAGTTATACTTAAAGTCTCAACATATATTTCATATTTAATCTTTTAGTTCACATAATTACACATTAGCAAATGCTAAGCAAGAGTTATATTCTTGTAATTAAAACATGAAAACAGAATTACTTTAGGTTCCAACTAAGTACTCGAAAATTTGATTTTTTTTTTTTTTTTTTTTTTGTTAGACATTTAAAGTAGACAAAAAGAATGATTGTTAAAGAATAAAAGTTGGAAAGAAGATACTTTGATATTGAATGTTGAACGCCCAATTATTCAAATGATACTTTGATATTGAATCTCTATGCATAAATCTTAAATAAGTTATAATAAAAAACTTTCCGTACAGTTTTAACGCAAGTTCTCTGGACAGTTCACATAATTTTAAAACTAAAAAAAATCTAATTTATATAAATATTCTTAACATATTTTGATGAAAATTTTTGAAAAAAAATAAAAAAATGTGTTGGAACTACCGGTTCTAACCGGTTGTTAAAACCTTAGGTTTTGGTCGATTCTCAAAGCCACCGGTTCACGGTTCTAAAAAACTTAAAACAGGGAGCGAACCGCTTCCAGTTATAGCAGTTTTCGGTTCCGTAGGATTCCGAAATGACGATTCCATTTCTAAAAACTGGAATTTGGCCACCCTTAGTTTGAACCAATAAACTAATATTTAAAATTTTATTCTATAAGGATTTATATTTGCAAGTAAACATATAAAATGATATTTAATATAAATTTAGTAAGGGAGACGTAAGGACGTAAGCACCATTTTTCTAAAGGAAAGAAAGAAATTGCAAATTCTTTTCTTTTTAAAGTTGAGGAAAAAGACATGAAATTAAAATATTTTGTAGTCATCCCTTCTGTCATGGTGTCAAATGCAGCCAGGTGTAGCCTACTTGAAAGAATAGGCAATATGCAGGTCAATTATATCAACCTTCTTTTTGTAGACAACATTCTAAAACTATTCCACCAAAATAACAGATTTTAGGCAAAAATGAAATCAAGGCTTGAGTCAAAATAATCTAAACAAGATAACCAAATTTTACTAAACAATTACTTTTTCATTGAATGAAAAGGAAAGAACAGAGCAATGCAACATTCACTTAAAATAAGTGAATGACAGTTTGACATAAACTTCTAAAAATGCTCATCTTAAAGTGATAATATCCAGGAATTGACGCAGAAGAGTTGACATAAACTTCTAAAAATGATAATATCCAGGAATTGACGCAGAAGAGATAATGAGGGGAAAAAGCCCCTAATATATCGATTAAGGAAAAACAAACTCCCAATAAATTGATTAAGAAATAAACACCCTCAAATAGAAATTGAAAGAATGTGAAATTTAAAGTGAAACAAACCTAAAACACAATGTAATTGAAGCCTATGAATACACCGGCAAAACTGACGGAGGACGACCATAACTCCGTGAATTATCGAGACCAGATGGGAGGTAAGAGAGAGAGTGCGTGCGACTGAAAGTGCGGAAGCGTGTTTGGCTAATTAAATGTGTCTAATTTAGCGACCGATTTATATTCAGTCGCTATTTTTTTCTCCTTTTGAATTCAATATTTTATAATCGCTAACTACTCGCTGTCTATGGCACTAAAAATTTCTGGAAAAAATTGCGACCGAAAAGAATTCAATCTTAATCGATTTTAAACAAGGTAGCTAATTAGTCTTAATTCAGTTGTAATATTTTTTATATAAATGCGGTCTCTATTTGGTCACTATTTTATCTAGTTTATTGACCGCTTATATTTGTTATCTAAAATCGATCGCAATTTGACATTTTTTTATAGTGATATATAAAAAAAAAAGTTATATACATATTTAGCTATATATACTACGGATTTAAAATAATTTTGTTACAATAAGATTAAGTGTACGCATCATTTGCCCACATGGAAAATGCTCAGTGAAATTGACAGCTACAATGCTTGCAGTAAACAATTAGATATTATTAGATATTATTGCATTACTTTATGGAAACCTAATGTTGTCACATGGAATTGAGAAAACACACGCAAATAAATTCACCCCTTCTAAAATATTTAAAACTAACTACATATTTGTGCTATGCATAAATAATTTATAAATATTATTTTTTTAATCTTTAAATTTAAATTTTTATATTTCATTTTTTATTAAATAGGCAAGTGACACTCTGAACACAACACGGTTTTAACCTACTGAATATCATAAACAGTATTAAATGAGGTCGTGATGACCCATATGCAACCCGTATTAACCCGTATTAAAAAATAATTCGAGTACATAAGAATTAAACATTAAAAAAAAATTATAAAAGAAGATGTTAAATGGAGTATTTAATCAACGTGCAATGCACGTCATGTAAAAAAAGACCGTACACCGTAAAAGAAGTAAAAGATTACGAGTGAAGACAAAAACCAATACAAACACGGGTAACCTTTGTTGATAAGGAACTAATTCTCATAAAAAATAGGGATGAGCTGAGAGAGGTTACAGTTAGCCAGGTCTCTTATCCGGACATAATACAGTACAGTATTATAATGTGAGTTGCTGCCAGTAGTCCGAGAATGTTTGTACATTTTACAAATTTAAAAGGGCATTAAATAGGTGTTCTATAAAAAAGATGTGGTGCCAGGTCACAGTTAAAAATAAAGTTGAGAGATTATTTTACTTTAAGTAATTTGCCGTCTTCAAAACAGTATATAAGGATCAAAAAAAAAAAAAAAAAAAAAAGCGTTATATAAGGACTTGATGCTCATCAAGGAATTCATCTAAGTTGGTGCCTTGGAGGTCGAAATGGTTTGTCATTTATTTGTGTCATTTCCTACGTTCACTTTCACTAAACCGCCACGTAGAGCTCAGTTCGTTCTTGGATTAAGGGAAAATTGCAGTTTTAGTGGCAAAGTTAGATGTATTGCTGCTCAAACCAATGCTAATGAAAATATTGTGAGACGATCTGCAAATTACCAACCTCCCATTTGGGATTATGATTTTGTGCAATCACTCACTAGTGAATTTAAGGTATATATATAGCTATTCGTTTTTTTTTTTTTTTTTTTTTTTAATTGCTTCCATATTCATTTCACCTTTCTTCAGTTTCAACCTTTTTCAGTTCAAAGTAGTTCCACTTTCCTGTTTGATTCCGATTTGAAACTGAACCTTGGGCTGGTCTATGTATTAATCAGCTTGATTTCGGTAATCTGATGCAGGGAGAAGTGTACACAAAACGGATTAGCAAGCTGAAGGAAGAAGTGAGGATTATGCTTAACCAACCCATCAATAATTTGAATCAACTCGAATTAATTGATACCTTGCAGAGACTCGGAATAGCTTATCACTTTGAAGATGAAATAAAGAGACAGTTGATGGGTATTTACAATCGTAAACGAACCGGAGTTGCAGGGACGGAGGGTTTACATGCTATAGCTCTGAAGGTTTTAGACTTCTACGGCAGCATGGCTACACCATATTCTCAAGGTAAGAATTATTATATTTGGAAATTGTTCTTTTGATGTATATCAAGATTCAAATTTATTGCAAACAGCTGATATATCTGCCGACAGAATGAACAAAAAAGACAAAGTATTAGTTCCACAACGTGGCTCAAACCATCACTTCAATTTTTGATTTTAGATTTTTTTTTTTTTTTTTTTTGAATCTACTTTGCTAATCGGCCTGCCTTTATAAATACTTGACAAAAGTGGGTTCATGGCTCTATTGATGAACCCAAACAAATGAAAACTAATGATTTTTTACAAAATTTTCTAATTCATCACAACCCTTTTTTTTTTTTAATTTTAAATTACACGATCCGAAATACTCTCGTTTCCAATAAAAATCCTTAAATATTCATTTGAAAACAAGGTAGAATTTAAATTTATTAGATAAAACTATTTATTACTATATATTACTTCATTTGGTTAAAGGTTAAATCCAAGGATTGTGATTTAACTTAAAACACACCATTTTCAAATTTCTCTCAACCACATTTTTCGGTTATTGTCTGATAAAAAGAAGGCAACAATCTTCTTCATTCTTCCAAAACTGGTAATCCGTACGATCAATTTACCATTTTAAACTGACTTTTTCTATACGAAAAAAAAAAGAGAAGAAAATTTTGTGCAAAATTTCACTTTTTGCTTTCAGACAAAAAACAGCGAGATAAGGCACCAGTCTCCTTCTTCGTTCGGTCTCAAAACATCAGTAAAGCTTTTAAAACCATTTAAAAAAACAATTGTTTCTCCTCTTGACTGCTATAGAGCGTAGCCATTGATTCAAGCGAGCTGATCCTTTTCATTTTTTTTTTTTTATTTTAACGCAAAGAACATTCGATCATGCAGGTTCTAAATATTCCTTTTTTTCTCTAGAAAGATTTATCTTCTCACTAATTTTCGAGTTTTACCAGATTGTTCGATGCAGGATTGCACAAATTGGAAGTTTTTAGAAATTGGCCGATTTTCATTATCCGTCCAATTGAAGCTGCTTTGTTAAAATCATTTATCGATTTAGAATATGAATTTTAATATTTATCGAGTATAATATATTCAAGTGAGATTACGACAGACGAACATGAAAATAAAAGGAAAAACTTGCTTTAATAATCAGCTTGAAAATTTAGAAATTTTTAAGGCTAAATGCTCAGAAAGCCTAAACTTGGTGATTTTTTAAATTTTAGCCCAATTATTTTCATTTTGAACAATTGTAGCAGTAAACTTATCTTTTATTACAATTATTAGCCTGGATTATGTAATCGGTTAAAAGTTCGCAGTTAGTGAGCGTCATGTTTTGACCACATTGATGCCACATCATCATGCCACATCGGCAAAGAAAACTTCAAAAAGGCGTAAAATTTTTGTCATTTTGCAATTTTATAGCCTTTTTTTTTTTATTTTTGTCCGTTGATGTCTTATGAATTTAATTTCTTTTCTTTCAATGTTTTAAAGATTTCGAAATATTAAAATTTTAAAAATAAATTATTTGGATTGCAAAAAATATTTCTTAATTTTTAAAATTTTTCAAAATATAAGTTAAATTAGAAAATATATAATGATTTGTGTGTTTATAATGTTATTTAAAGTATTTTGAAATTAGGTTCTTACTTTTGTATAGTATATTAATTGTTAATTTTAGTGAATAATGTAAATAATTAACTTTAAATAATAAATTCTATTGTGAAACGGGCTGTAAATTTGGAGAATCATAAAAGAAAATCTTAAATGAGTGAACTAAAACTAATTATTGCTAATAAGTTTATATATGCAAAGTACTGTGAAAAACAACTCATATGACATTTTTCCAAAATTAAAAAAAGAAAAAAGGAATTGACTAAAATTTTCAAAAATATATAAAGTTCAGGGGTTTGTTTTTTCATTTAGCTTCTTTGGCTAACGCGGCATGATGATTTTGGTGCCGATGTGTTCAAAATATAGGTCCCACTTAACGACAACATCAACGCAATTTGTGTAACCAACATTATAGAACAGAGCGCTATAAATTGTTAATGAAAAAATAAGTTTATTTGCTACAATCGCCAAAATTAAAAGAATTGGCTAAAAATTGCAAAAAAGACCAAAGTCTAAGGGTTTTTTTTTATCATTTAACCAAATTTTTAATTGTTTTTTGAGTTTCAAATCATATGAACTAGCCTGTGGCTACTGCAAAGTGGTAGAACAAACTCAAGTTCATGTTCCCTTGATACTCAATGTGTGTTGTGCTATTATAAACTCGTCAATTTGAGTAACATTTTAAATCGAAATAAATTAACCAAACCTTTTTTGACTTAACAGAATTTCATCGAAACTAATTTTTAATTGAAACTTAACCAAATAAATTTTGGCCCAAATTAATTTTTATATTAACCAAACCAGAGTTAAAGAAAATAAAGAGTGATTAACAGATCGAATTAACCGAAATTTATGATTAATTGACTTTAACCGAAATAAAAATTAATTTGAAGTTATTAATCACTACTTAATCAAAATTTTAAAATCTGAAATATTTTTATTTTAAAATTTTAATTTTCTACTTAATCAATGATTGTTAGTTTTTTTAGAATCGGTTAATTTGATTAAAATTTGGCAATATTAAACTTTTAACCGAACCATTTAACATGAATACCGAAAATTTAAGTTTCTTTAATCGAACTTTTAATCAAATATTTATTCACCCAACCGAATTGGCTGAATTAACTAAATTGGCCGAACTTGAATAGTCGCCCCAAATTTTTAGCTTCTTTTTAGGCTTAATTTAGTTTCATTTTTTTCATTTTTTAGGTTTTCCAATTCTACATAATCAAAGAATCTTAAATTGAAATTAACAAGGTGATATTATGTTATTAATATTTTTACTCTAGCAATATTAATTTTGATTAATGCTTGACAAAGTGAATGCAGATGTCTTAATAATTTCATTGATGAAATGGGAGACTTCAAAACATGCCTTTTGTGAGAGCTTAGAGGGAATGGGTTCTTGTACGAGGCGTCATTCCTTTCAGGAGAAAAATGAGAATGTCTTCAGTTGCTAGAGATTTTACTACAAGTACCTCAAAAACTACATTAAACAAAACAAGAATGACAAGTATACATCCGTGTTTTAATAACTCATGCACTTGAAGGATGGCCACTGCATTGGAGGATAGCTAAGGTTGCGAAACTAGGGGTTCATCGATGTTCTTTTGAGATGAAAAACAAGGCATGAATTCTCTTTATGCTGAGCTTGCTAAAATTGGATTTCAATTACGTCCAGGCAATACACCAAGAGGATCTTAAAATACACATCATTGGTACTTATGCCCCAATTCTTTTCTTTTCTATTTTAATAATTGGTCAGACTAAAGACTGCCCATGTACTTGGGCTAAGTAGTTTGTAATTTCCTTCGCTTTTTGTAATCTTTTTTTTTTTTTCATATATAGGTGGGCTGGAATGAAATATAGGCTTTAGGAGAAAAGTTTGAAGCTTTGCAAGAGACAGGTAATGGAGAATTTCTTGTGCGACTATTGGAAATGATATTTGAGCCAGAATTTGAATTTTGTAGGAGAAATGTCTTACAAAGGTCAAGTGCTCCCTAACAAACAAATTGATGACGTCTATGACGTGATATGGCACCTAGATGCAACTTGAATTAATTCACCGATGAGTGAAAGGTCAGTGATGTGTTCCCAACATCTAACAAAAAGGCTTCTTATTTGCCTAGCTTGATCTAAATTAATCACATATATTTTTTTATATGATATTAAAATTTGAAAATGAATTTACATATAACATAACAATAGTTCTCTGGGTTCATAATAAATGATTTTCTTTTAATAAGTAATTTTTTCTTCTAATTTGTTCCAAAAAACACCGTAACACCTCACCTCGAATACGCCGAGTTCAAAACTCTATTGATTACATTACATAGAGTTTCATCCTATAGTTCTAAACATAAATATTCAAATAGGTTTGACGTATTATTCATTTTGTGGCATGCCATTTTATATTATATTGGGCATATATATATATATATATAGCTGGCTAGAAAAATAATTTCATTTATATGTATCTTTATGGCTTTGTTTGTTTAGATGGGATGTAATGCAATAGAGCAACGTCCAAACTATATGAAGATTGTTTCTTAGGTCTACATAACACGATCAATGAAAATAGCATTGATATACCCTTAAGAACAAGGACTTCACATCATTCCTTACTTCAAGAAATTTGTAAGTATTTAATAAGATCTTAAATCATTGTGATGGTACCTCATTTTTTTATGTATAATTGGTAATTAACCCATTCTATTCACATTTTAATATTTTCCAGTGGGCAAATTCATGTTAAAGCTCACTTGTTAGAAGCCAAATTGGTATTACAGTGGCATATACACCAACTCTACAAAGAATATATTGATAATGCATGGATTTCTATATCAAATTCCGTGATTGTTTAGCCCACTGTTATTTTTCTTTCAAGAACGCCAATAACAACTGATTGCCTTGAAAGCCTTTGAAGGAATGTCCCGATATAATTCAATTGTCAGCCATGATTGTTAGACTCGCAAGACACCTGTGAACATCCTCGGTATTGCAAAGCTAGTTAGTTTAGGCAAATTCCTCGCTTTCAGTTATTTTCTCCTTATATTTTTCCTTTAAATTCTTATCATTATATTCCTCTATTTTGTTCTCATATTTATAGGATGAATTTAAAAAGAGGAAGATGGTTCCAAAAATCAATTCAAATGTATATGCATGAAACTGGAGTTTTCAGAAGTAAGAAAGCTCGTGAGCACATCCATTTTAATTAGTGAAACGTGGAAAAAGATTAATAAAGACGGAGTTGTTGATTCTCCTTTCGAATACTTTTGTTAACATGGCCAATTAATCTAGCTAGGATAGCACAATGCATATACGGAAATATGGAGACGGGCATGGAATTTCAAAATCAAGAAACGAAGGATCGCATGTTTCATCATTATTTGGTTCAACATTCCTTATATGCCG